CTAAATAAACATTTCTCCAAAGAAGATATACAGATTGCCAACAAACACATGAAAGAATGCTCAACATCATTAATCTTTAGAGAAATGCAAATCAAAACGACAATAAGATATCATCTCACACCGGTCAGAATGGCCATTATCAAAAAATCTAGAAACAATAAATGCTGGAGAGGGTGTGGAGAAAAGGGAACCCTCTTGCACTGCTAGTGGGAATGTGAATTGGTACAGCCACTATGGAGAACAGTATGGAGGTTCCTTAAAAAACTACCAATAGAACTACCATATCACCCAGCAATCCCACTACTGGGCATATACCCTGAGAAAACCATAAGTCAAAAAGAGTCATGTACCAAAATGTTTTATGCAGCTCTATTTACAATAGCCAGGGGATGGAAACAACCTATGTGTCCATCATCGGATGAATGGATAAAGAAGATGTGGCACATATCTACAATGGAATATTATTCAGCCATAAAAAGAAACGAAATTAAGTTGTTTGTAGTGAGGTGGATGGACCTAGAGTCTGTCATACAGAGTGAAGTAAGTCAGAAAGAGAAAGACAAATACCATATGCTAACACATATGTATGGAATCTAACAAAAAAAAAATGTCATGAAGAACCTAGGGGTAAGACAGGAATAAAGACACAGACCTACTAGAGAATGGACTTGAGGATATGGGGAGGGGGAAGGGTAAGCTATGACAAAGTGAGAGAGTGGCATGGACATATATACACTACCAAATGTAAAATAGCTAGTGGGAAGCAGCCGCATAGCACAGGGAGATCAGCTCGGTGCTTTGTGACCACCTGGATGGGTGGGATGGGGAGGGTGGGAGGGAGGGAGACGCAAGAGGGAGGAGATATGGGAACATACGTATAACTGATCCACTTTGTTATAAAGCAGAAACTAACACACCATTGTAAAGCAATTATACTCCAATAAAGATGTTAAAAAAAAAAAATAAGAAGCAGAGGCACAAATGCTGGAGGCCACCAGAGCAGAGATGCTGCTCGGGCCAAACAGCCCATGTCTCTTAACTTGAATGTGCTCAGGAACCTGGGTGCTCGTGGGGCCTGCGGCCTGCTCTCAGACATAGAAGTACAATCAGCCATAAATAACAGCTGTGAGGCCCTTGTGGATCACCTAGTTCAAACCCTTAATTTACCAAAAAAGAAAATGAAGCCCAGGTCACCATGACTAGGTTAGAACAATCCAGCATACCCCACAAACTCTCGCCTTTGGCGAGCACAGAATGTTCAAGAGTCCAGTCAGTTTCCGAAACTTTCTGTCAATAGCAGCAGGGCGCGAAAGAGCTGGAATGCTTAGAATTGTTACCCCTAAGCAGCTGGATTCTGCAAGTAAATGAGGGGCAGTGGGGTGTCCCACGGAGCAGAGGCAATGCAGATCTGGGAGCAAGCCCTTTGTACACACCCCCCTTTTATAAGCCTTGGGCACATTTTGGTCCACTAGTGGGCCAGTACTACTGGCTTCCCATTGCTCCCTCCCTTCCAGTCTCCTGTCACGTACGTGAAGCAAGACTGAATGGGAATCAGGTTTTGATGGTAAAAACAGGTAATTCAATCTTGGGGAGTTTATAGAAAGCTATGAGGCTAAGCAGATATGAGAAATAAAAGACACAGAAGTTTATCAATCAATGTCCTCCTATATTTTTAAGTGCTGTATCTCATATAGCTATCCAGTAGTTTTTAAGTCTGAGAAGTAATAATTACAGCAATTGAATATTTCTTTACCATTATGAAGAACACATAACTTAATACACTGGAACTAACAGTCTAAATGTCTCATGTTGACCCATGAGGACTGTTTAAGACTAGCTGAAGAAAGATTGATGTGAATAAGTGGATGAATAAGAGACGAAAAGTAAGGCTAAGGAATATCCGGAAATTTTCCTATCAGTAAAATCTATTAGTCTAGAGAACAATGCCCCAAGGGAACCAGTGAAAGCCCAATTTTATGAGTCACTTAAAAAAGTGGAATGGATTTGGCTACTGGAATTATTCCAAAGGGAAAACTCTTGCACTATGCCGGAAATGGACAACATGACCTAATGGGTTGTTGTGTTTAGTATCTCAGCCTGTCCAGCTTGTTCTTTAGATTTTACAAGGAAACTCAAAAAGGGGTTGTGGACCAGTCAGGAACTGTAACAACAAATGATCAGGACCATGTATCCTGCCAAAGTCCCTTTTAACAACAGGGGCGGAGCTAGAGTCACAAGGTTAGACTAGCTTCACACACACACACACATACGGAAACCGTGATGTTAACGGAAAAGTGACTACTCATGAAATACTGATATAACCTCCGCTGGCCATCTTGGTTTGGCATGGTCCTAAGATGGGGCAGCGCTAAACTGCACCTTTGCTCATGGCCTTTATAATCCCACCCTCCTTTCTGTTACTTTCAGTCTCAATGACTACTTCATTTGATCTTCAGAGTTTTTTCCCTTCACTTCATGATTATCGTTCACATCTTCCCTCACTGCCTTATTTCTGTATTAGTGGATACTGGATATCCCTTCACACACACAACTGAAAAGCCAAACACTATGTATTTTTAAATTTGTTTTTATGGCAAGGTCTATCTTGGTCTAGTTGTTAAATTTACCATCATGACTTCCCTGGGTTTCAATTCTCTCAACTGTAAAATGGTGAAAATAAAACCATCTCTATTTACATCTCAGGTTGTCATAAAAAACAAGTAAGAGAATGGATGTGAAATGACCTTGAAATCTAAATCTACAGACATACAAGGTGTTACTGTTTCTTGGTTACTTCCCATTTCAATGCCGCCTATCTTAGGTTTAAAATAAGGTCTTGTGGACATATCTTTTTAATATCAGCTGCTGTTATATACTCTAATACTTGAATGTAACAGTTGTAAGAACAATAGGCACCTGAAACATACTCATTGAAAATATTAAATTATGCTGCAGATGGGCAGGGGGGTGGGGTGGGGAGGGGAGGACGGAAGGTCCCCTTTGGAATCACTAGTAATAATTTGACGCTTTTGGCCAATTTGTTTAAGTTGGTTTCAGCACAGAATAAGGCAACTGAGGAAAGAAGGAAAAAAATTTAGACTTATTGAATACTTCACAGAAATGGAATCCTCACAACACTGCAAATTACATTACCTCACTTAACAGATGAGACAAATCAAGGCCCAAGGTTACAGAGCCAATAAAAGAGCTTGGATACAAACTCAGATTTGCCCAATTCAAACTCTCTGTTGCACCATGTAGCATACTTGATTTTGTCACAAGTTAAATAACTCTTGTTTTGCTCTGTGAATGTATGCTATTGGTCTCATGGGGCTGCGTGTAGACAGTTCAACACAACCCGGACAATCAGGATGAAGTCAATACTCCAGACACCCTTGCAGGTGCTACTTCAGTAACGGTACAGATCACTGTGGACACAGGCACCTATGTTACAAGACACCAGTGTCAAAACACGCACTTTGTCTCCGCCATTATGTGCACTACCACCCCCGCCTTAATACAGAACTAACATCAGCTAGAAAAACCCATGAGCCCAACTTACAGGTTCCAACTGCTTCAGTCAGTATTAAAATTGAAGGTTGGAGATTGTTAAGAACATATCAGAAGCTGTTTTTAACAAATAAAATGTACTAACTTAACATCAGCAACACTACTTCTACCAAAGATCTTAAAAGAAAGGTATCCCTGGCACACTACTAAGAGTTAGGCAAGTGCCGTATAAACAAGAAAAAGAAAGAAGCCTTTTGTGACGACCTAGAGGGGTGGGATAGGTAGGGTGCAAGGGAGACACAAGGGGGAGGGGATATATGTATACGTAAAGCTGATTCACTTTGTTATACAGCAGAAACTAACACACCATTTTAAACATCCAATAAAGATGTTAAAAAAATAGAAAAAATAAAAAATAAAAGCTAAGGAGGGAAAAAAAAAAAAAGAAAAAAGCCTTGAGCCACACGGCTTTTAAAGACAACACAGGTTTTTAATAAATCTTGGTTCTATGTTTTCTACTACTGTTGTTATTTTCCAGATATCCAGACAATACTGCCCTCCCATCAGATATTCACAGAGTGTCAGAAATTTATACTAACTGGGATTATTATAACTACAGCAAATTAGACTGCAGGAAGGCATGCTGTGTAATTCAAACACTAGATTTAGTTGGGTTAGAAGGTCAAGTCTAGGGAATTTGTCAGCAGAAAGAACCAAGGTTTCCAACAATTTCCATCTCTCAGAACAACCTATACCCAACAAAATCAGTTAAATGATAGGCAATTACATGACCTGCCAGAATTGATAATTTACTTCAGCGTTTATCATTAGCTTTCTAAAGTACACAAATTAGAGAAAATACACGTCCCGTGATCATCATATTATTCTGATATGAAGGGTCATGAGAAGAGTATGGCTATGGTACACAGAAGCGATGGAAATTGCTTCCTAGATCCATGTCTGGCCTGTCTTTCCCTGCCCAATTGACTGGACTCTACCAACTGGCAGAAGATTGAATGGTGCTTGCATGGTGGGTTTTTATTTTAGTTTTGTGTTTGCTTTTCGTTTTTTTAAACCAGACTCTCTGCATGACTACTTGCTGTTTATGGACTTGAAGCTGTTGGCCCCTTAACATGTATGCTTCCTCTTTGCTGGCTTTGAATACTGGCCCAGAAATATGGGGCAGTGACCTTGAGGACACAATTATAAAGTAGAGTACAAAAGTTCAAAGCAACTAGAAAAGGTATTCTTTACGTAAAACCTTTTTTTTCTGCAAGTGGAACACAAGGAGACAACGGACTCTTCCTTCAGCCACCTGGATGAAAGGTGATTAAAACTTAACCAACTCATGACAGCAATTCTTGATGACGACTAGTTTGGTTTAAAAACCTTTTTCATACACATTAGCCTACTGAGTCCTTCCCAGTGCCCATGACGTTGGGCTTTTTATTCCTCTGCTGCCCTACTTAGCTCCTGGTTTGTACACCCACCTGTTTGGCCTGATTGACGCACTGCTTGTACTGACTGGCCAGAGCGGAGCAGCTGAGGGTCTGCTGGGTGTTCTGGCGGTAACACTGGAGAATTTGGGCCTGCAGATCGGCACAGATGGGATGACACTCATACCGCCTGGAAACAAAAACAGGGACCACTGAGACAAATGGTCTTCAACCGGAATAAAGAACAAGGGTAAAAAAATATATAAAACATCAACTAAGATATATGTGTTACAAACGCCCCCCCAAAAAGTTGTTCTTAAACAAAAAAGTTTAAGAATAATTTTCTTTGACCTTTAAAGAAAGATATCACACAAGATTAAGTGATTTCTTGTTATACAGCAGAAACTAACACAACATTGTAAAGCAGTTATACTCCAATAAAGATGTTAAAAAAAAAAGATAAGTGATTTCTATGAAATTAGTTCTATTAATTGACACCACTGCGAGCCTCTCTGGACAGGGCAGCATTCCCACCCTACCTCAAATGTAACCATGTGAATGGGGCCAATTACTCTTCAGCCCAGCCAGCTAACTCAGGAACCTGGGAGGCCCAATGTTCTCTTCCGTTCCCACCTCCAGCTGGTCACAAAGCTTGATATCCTGCAGTCCAGTCCTTTCTCCATACTTGCTGTCATTACATTAATTCCTAATCATTTATATCCTGGATTCAAGCAATGACCTTCACGGGTCTCTCTGCCTCTTAACGTTCACCCTCCACTCCTACCTCCCAGAAGGTTCTTTCTAGTAGTAAGTCTAGACAATATCTGCTTTCCAAATGAAATACATGGTCAACAGGCAGGTCCTTTTGGATCAGGTTCCTGCCTAGTCTTTTGCCTCAACCAGACCATGTACAGGGTTTGGTTCTTACACATCCCTTCACGTCTTGTCTCCAATGCTCTTGATTTTGGAAATGCTCTGCACCTAAGCCTCACCCAGTTCTATGTATCTGGAAAATACCTACCCATCTTTCAATACTCGAGCTAAGTATTGAAGTGCAACCTCCTCTATAAGGCTTTCACTAGAGCTCTCTCCAACCACAGCAGAGTCTATCATTCCCTTTATGGAGACCCCCTAGCCTGTATTAACTTCCTTTACCATGCACTACACTACAGTCTACTGCAATTTACTAGCATGCAAATCCCAAGTAAGGACTGCATCTTATTTTCTTTGTTATCTCAGCTATCGGCATGGATCCCTCTTATAGAAGTCATGCAATAAATTGTTGAGAATACAAATGTGTGGAGAGAAAATTTAATTCCTTGAGCTAAAATTTTACTAGTTATACTTACAAATCTCAAGATTTTAGTTAGAGTGCTTTCAGTGAATATGCACTACTAAACATAAATGCTTCCAAAAAGCTGATAATATACACTTGAAAAATGATAATAATAAAATAAAGCAAATGGATTATGCAAACAAAAATGAAATATTCTTGTTACAATTGTAGAGGAACTTGGAATATAAGGACTAAATACACAGAAAAATATATATATTACTATCACTTTAATCTAGGGATTCATTTTTTTTCAAATTAGTTTTGTTTAATACAAAAGGTTCCAGTCTCTTATAAGTTCTTCTCTTGGAATTTAAATTTGTTATTTCCATAGTAATCATGAAATAGCATTATTTTAAATTGATGAGTTCTGAAAAACCCCTAGAGAACACAGGAGAAATATTTCTCATCAATAAGGAAACCCCTGGCTGACGATCTCTCTCCTCATTGCTTTTATCCAACACACTAAGCTAGTATACATATTTTGCTAGAATAGAAAACTGAAATGCAAGCCACGTTACTGGCCGCTAAGGGAATTTACTTCCTACTACCCTCTAAAAAAGTAGACACAGAGATAACATCGCTTGTACTCTTTCATTCATTACCTTACTGTTTGGCCAAACACCTAAGAACAGAATTTAAATCCAATCCCAGGAGTTTCAACTCGCTTTAAGGTTTTTTTGCGGTACGTGGGCCTCTCACTGTTGTGGCCTCTCCATTGTGGAGCACAGGCTCCGGACGCGCAGGCCCAGCGGCCATGGCTCACGGGCCCAGCCGCTCCGCGGCATGCGGGATCCTCCCAGACCGGGGCACAAACCCGTGTCCCCTGCATCGGCAGGCGGACTCCCAACCACCGCACCACCAGGGAAGCCCTGCTTTAAGGTTTTGAAGTTCAGATGTCTGTGAATGTCTCCGGACACAGATTTCCCTGATCCCCTGCCATGAACATCAGTATCTAAAAAGAGTCAGCTGTGTTTCGAAGGGTAGAAGCACAGCTACGACTAACTGATTATAGCAAGACACACTCCTGGACTAAATAACATAAGATCAAGCATCAGGTTAGCTGAACCCAGCAAATATATGATGAATGCCTTTAACAGTTCATGAGAAAGCAGGGTTACATGCTATCCTAGTGTGGAGGACCATCGTCCCTCCAATATACCTTAGATTTAAAGCAGGGGGAAAGAAGATGGGAGAGAAGGCTAGAAGCAACCCGACCAGATATGCAGCCCCTCCCCATTAACACACAGCAAAAGACCATAAAGAATGAGCTCCCACACAGTGCTCATCACAAGGAAGATGCTGTGGTTGTTTTTCCTTCTAAAAAGACTCTTCACAATGGGATTCATTCATCTAATACTATGGACTCCTTAGAAAGAGGTAATTTAAGTTATATGTAAGCATTTACCCTGGGTTGAGCTATTTAGTCATGCAAGTTAAAGTCCATGAGTTATTCATAATTTGAAAGGTGTCAAAATATACTTTTATCACCACAAATCAATACTACTCACTTCCAGGGCCCTTTATTTCCTGTATGGTAGTCTGTTCTGTGTGAGAGTGCGTGTGTGCACGCAAACGCAGACATTTTCAGAAATCCTTTTTGTACACATTTCAACCTGTATTGATGATTAGATGGTAGAATGGGGGAAAGAGGGGTGGAAATCAACATAATTGTCTTCCAGTTCCTGGACTAGACTCTGGTACATTTTGCTTGGATTAATCTGTAAGGGCAAAGCTCTGTCTCTGTATTGATCTGCAATGCTGTTATGCTGTCCTAATGCACTGTTTTCACTTTGGGAAAATGCTAAATGAGATTACTGTCTAACATTAGGAGGCCATAAAACCCAAGCATGGCACCTTCCATTCAGGAAAAGGGTTTCAAAGACATTTCCAATATGCATTATGGTAAACCCTCCATATAGTCATTGAGTCAACAATTGATTTTTATTGACTGCTTTCATTCCTGCTGATGGAAAAAGCCACCATTAGGTAAAGATAACAAAAGGCAGAATTTCAAGATACCCAAGAAGGAAAATTAAATCTTAGCAGCAAGAGACATTTAAACAATTTACTATCTTTGTATGAAAAGATTAAAAAAAAGAAATGGTGAATGACAAATGTTAAGAGAAAGATGAAATATCTGGGGAACTTAAAACCATAATAAAGAAGTGAGAGAATAGTTGTCCAAAAACATACTTACCAAAAAGGAACAGGTGGAATAAAGTTGATACACGGAAATATATATTGCTCAAAAATAAGAAAAAATCCAGTTTAGTGGACTTGAAATTATTGGGGACTTTTGATGGATCCCACCACTTGTCTCCTCCCGTTGCCTTTCTGTACTCTATACATGGCTCCCTGTCTCTTCCCTCCTCCCACCAGCACTAGAAGCTGGCCCTCTGCCCTTCTCGCCCTACCCCACCTCATCCCACAGTGGTACTTCGGGCCAAGGAGGTCGTTGACGGTATTCAATGGCAGAACTGGAGACCAAAGATCTGGATAGAGAACAACACCCAAAGAAGCATTCCTGGTAGGTATTCTGTAGCCAGTAAAACAATTTTTTTGCCAATGTTTAATGCTAATATTCACTTAAAAGGCAGCTAATAAAATACATCCAAGTATTCTTCTCATAACACTGACAGATCAATGTAGAAACTTCGGGGAAAAAAATAACAGAAAAGAATAAAGATACATATTTAGGCTGTTTCTAATTTTTAAGTGCTTAAAACACCATGGTGATGGACAAAAATTATCACTACGATGACCTCCTTCGTAGAGTTTCCTATAAGTTGAATTAATTGGTCAAAGAGAAATGAAGATGTTTTGGTAAAAATGACACTGAGATAAATAAGCAGTATTCAGAACTCTCTTCTTAAGATTCTAGTATTGGGTTTCCCTGGTGGCGCAGTGGTTAAGAATCCACCTGCCAATGCTGGGGACACGGGTTTGAGCCCTGGTCCGGGAAGATCCCACATGCCATGGAGCAACTGAGCCTGTGCACCACAACTACTGAGCCTGCTCTCTAGAGCCCACGAGCCATAACTACAGAGCCCGTGCTCCGCAAAAGAGAAGCCACCGCAATGAGAAGCCCACGCACCACAACAAAGAGTAGCCCCTGCTCGCCGCAGTTAGAGAAAGCCTGCGTGCAGCAACGAAGACCCAACGCAGCCAAAAATAAAAGAAAAAAAAAAAAAGACTCTAGTATAATACATTTCCACTTGGTTATCTGTTTTAGAGCTATCTGTTGGTTTTGCTGCTGCCTCTCCTACTTTCATGTCTTAGAAACTTCTTTGAGGTGGGTCTGAGCTTTATATTTCGAGAAAACTACTTACCCATCATTTTAGTTCTAATATAAACAAAAAGGATAAAGAGGTAATTTCAGAGAAGGGAGAAAAGTGTGGAGATAGCCCTCCTCATACCACTCGGAAGGCTCAAGAAGTCATGTAATGACAATCAGTGAGCAGCCACAATTCCTAAAGCTCTCGGACACAAAAATCATTCATTGAGTGCAGGGTGGATACGAGAATGGTTGGCGCTACAAGGGGAATTCTAATTTTTTCGGGGGGTTGGGGAGGAGATCCTGATCTTTTAACAGGTTGCAACAATGCATCTTTCACGGGAACCGGTGACTTTAGAAAAAGGAATCAGTATCACAACTCAGTCCTCTGAATCCACAGGAGGCGGGTGATATGCAAGGAGGGAGGGGAAAGCATTATCAGTCTTCCCCCAGGTTTTAGGATCCTGAGTAAAAGTCCTAAAACCAGGACAATCCCAAAGACGGGACCTCTGGTCACCTATCCAAGATGATATGAACAATACAGTGCTCTACGCACACAGGTGCACTGTTCTTAAACCAA